GCAAAATGCATTTGTTTGCGTCTCATTTACCTCAGTATTTTTTACAGAGTGTGGTTTGTTCTGGATGTTCGGTTTGAGTCAAAGGAAGTCTTTTGTTTACCTCACTGAAAATAACACAGTAGTGACTTACTGCAAAATAAACCCTGATGCATGATCCCACTTTAAACACGGGTACTTACCAAATCAATAAACGGAGATGAATTATTGATTGGGAGTGTAAATGATTTTATTCTGTGAGCAGAAAGAGTCTGGTGATATGAGAGACAGCGATGGAGGAAACGATCAGACTGTCAATGGTCAATTATACAGTCTAAAGTCATTATATACAAGTAACAGAGTCAATCACAGGCCAGCCCTCCAGAAGAGCAACTATCAACAATAGCTTTTCATGCTTCGCTGCATCTCATCCAGCGCATCCGTGTGAGGAGAAGAGCAGCACTGGGCTCCCTTTGAGCCCTCAAATGTCAGTGAACACACACGCACACACACACAGATACACACACACACTCACACATACACACACACACTCACACAGATACACACACACACACACACACTCATTCACACACAGACAGACACACACACACTGTCCTCTGTCAGAGAAATATGTTGATCTGTTCACAGGATCTCAAACACTGTTCTTGACAAACAGATTCACTAGCTACATTTACATGCTCTCAATAATCCGTTTATCGGACTGAAACACATTAAACGCCTCAAATGACTCGACTGAGCTTGATCTGATCTGATTAAAAGGGCTGCTGTACACCTGAAACAATCCCAAAACAGGAAAAAAAAACTCAAGAATGGAAACGAAACCATTTTCTCAATCAGATTCAGAAATATCTTGCACGGTGCACAGATGCATGCTTGCATATGTTTTATGTCTTATGAACTGTGGAGGAGACTGAATATTTACTAAATATTTGAAAAAATAAATAAAAAATCAAGGCAAAAACAACAGTTATACTCGAGGTAGCTGCAGTCACATTATCGCAGTGATTTCTCTGGTTCTGAACGCATCGACTGTTGCACTGTGCATGCACTGGAGCTTTGTTCAGAATGCATGTAATGCACATGTAAATTAATATAAGAATCAGATTGCAATGCTTAGGGTTTCAGAATCTGAAATCAGATTGGATTCATTCGGATTGCGGAAATTAGTGCATGTAAACAGACTGATGTTTTCAGTACATGCACCCTCATAATGCAACTATCATGAGATTGAGGCAATGTTGCTCATGTAAACATGTTACTGCATTGAGATATGTCAATAATATGGTATATTTTTAATACATATAGTACATTTTTATAGCATGGAATGTATGAATGAAATCTAGGTTTCAGGCCTTTATCATTTGTACTGCTCAGTTTCACTTCAGCAATTCAATGTTATGAAGAAAACAATAAACACAAAACCGCACCAGTCACCAAACGGTCCGATATTCAGCTGCTCTCTTTAGTTTACATGCTGTATGCTCTCCATATATGATTTTAACAAACTATTTATTTTTTATTTTTTAAATAGACAAATTGGGGCACTACCATTTAAGAAAAGCCAAAGAGTTTAATAATTGTAGCAAATAAATGGAGGGTGATTTTTTTAGGTGGTTGCTAGGGAGTTGTTTAGGTGTTCCTGTGGTTACTAAGGAATTGCTATGCGGTTGTCTAGGTGTTTAGGTGGTTGCTATGTAGTTGTTTAGGTGTTCATGCGGTTACTAAGGAGTTGCTATGTGGTTGTCTATGTGTTTAGGTGGTTGCTATGTGGTTGTTTATGTGTTTAGGTGGTTGCTAAGGAATTGCTATGCGGTTGTCTAGGTGTTCAGGTGGTTGCTATGTAGCTGTTTAGGTGTTCATGCGGTTACTAAGGAATTGCTATTTGGTTGTCTATGTGTTTAGGTGGTTGCTAGGGAGTTGCTATGTGGTTGTTTACGTGTTCAGGTGGTTGCTAAGGAATTGCTATGTGGTTGTCTAGGTGTTCAGGTGGTGGTTGCTATGTAGTTGTTTAGGTGTTCATGCGGTTACTAAGGAGTTGCTATTTGGTTGTCTATGTGTTTAGGTGGTTGCTAGGGAGTTGCTATGTGGTTGTTTACGTGTTCAGGTGGTTGCTAAGGAATTGCTAAGCGGTTGTCTAGGTGTTCAGGTGGTTGCTATGTAGCTGTTTAGGTGTTCATGCGGTTACTAATGAGTTGCTATTTGGTTGTCTATGTGTTTAGGTGGTTGCTAGGGAGTTGCTATGTGGTTGTTTACGTGTTCAGGTGGTTGCTAAGGAATTGCTAAGCGGTTGTCTAGGTGTTTAGGTGGTTGCTAGGGAGTTGCTATGTGGTTGTCTAGGTGCTCAGGTGGTTGCTAGGGAGTTGCTATGTGGTTGTCTAGGTGTTCAGGTGGTTGCCAGGGAGTTGCTATGTGGTTGTTTACGTGTTCAGGTGGTTGCTAGGGAGTTGATATGTGATTAGGTTACTCACTGGTTATACAGGTTTGAAAGTAATTTATAAAAAAAATTGCTAATGTAATTGTTAGAGGATCTATACAGGCATCTCGACTTTGTTGTTTCTACCAATAAAGTCTGATTTTGGCATCTGGAACTTCTTGACTCGAGATTCTTATGCAAAAGAGAGAAAAAAAATGGCAGTAAAAATAAGCACACTTCTTAGTGAATAATCAGAATAATGACGGAGTGAAGAGGTTTGCTTGTGTGATGTAAACCTCGATTAAGTCCTAACTCTGATGGAAATCACATTATTGGTGCACATGCAAACACAATCAGTTTCATCACAGATGGACATACAAATAAAGAACAGGAGCAAAGGTCGTGTTTTCTGATTGGTCACAGTTGGCAGTGTTAAATGGATGGTGCATTTAATAGTCATAAATGAACATTCACATTTCACATTACAAGCAGCTGATCTCCAGGACCGAGCGTTTGTCGTCACTGTTCTCCGGCAGGTGTTTGTGTGTCCGCCGCGCTCCATTACGGACAGCTGCGGGGTCAGAGGTCGCTTCACACCGCGCATCCATTCCTCCCGCAGCGCCGTCCTCGTGACGCCCGTTCCGGAGTTTCGTCATCTCTCGGTCTGCGTTGTGTTCTTCCACTTCGCTCACCTTCAGATGTTCCCTTCGAATCTCTTCTAGCGGTAACGCAACCATTCCCGTCCCCTGCGGCTGATCCCGGTTTTCCACGCGCCTGGAGGACCTGCACAAGGCTTTCCGGAAACCTCTTTTAAAGTTATCTGACAGAAAACCGTACAGAATGGGATTCGCGCAACTGTTGGCGTACGAAAGAACCACAACGAAGTAATACAGCCCTCTGAACTCTCCCGGCAGGAGAACCAGCAGATTCACGATATTTAAGACATAAAACGGCAGCCAGCAGAAGACGAACACGGCCACGACGATCACCACCATTCGCGTGATCTTGCGCTCAGATTTCCGGCGGCGAATCGACGTGGCGCGGACTCTTCGTCCGGAGCTGCGCACTTTAACCACGATCAGCAGGTAGCAGAGACAGATGACCGTCAGAGGACCGAAGAACCCAACAGTCGCGGTATACACGATGAACGCCGCTTTCCAAACCTCCGCCGGCTCGGGCCACACGATGCTGCAGTTCCCGTCGTCCTGCAGAACTCCAGCGAACACAACCACAGGCAAAACCACCACAAAAGAAACGCCCCATACGGTGGCGTTCACCGTTTTGGCCACACGCGGTTGGCGCCACCTAGAGGACTGGAGAGGATGCACCACAGCCAGATAGCGGTCGATGCTCATCACCGTCAGACAGAAGATGCTGGTGAACTGGTTAATGGCGTCTACGGTCATGACCAGGCGACACATGAGCGATCCGAAGGGCCAGGAGAGCAGGCCGTTCTGAACGGCGAGGAACGGCAGGCCCAGCATGAAGAGCTCGTCTGCGATCGCCAGATTCAGGATGTAGATATTGGTCACCGATTCCGCCTGGGAATATCGCAGCACGATGTGGATGACCAGAGTGTTTCCGATCAGACCCACGACGCAGACGGCGATGTAGACGAGAGGGATGAGGATCCCGGCGACTCCCGGCGCGTAATCCGGAGTTCGGCCGCCGGTCCAGTTCTCCGTCGGAAACAGAAACGGAGGAGGGAAGGTTTGGTTGGGAATTGCGGAGGATGCATTAGTCCACACTGGAGCTCCTGCTGCGGAGGGAGGTGAAAGATCTCGATGTACCTCCATCGGTATAAGAGAGATTGAGCCTTACAGCAATCAACTGCTGCCCATCTGATCTACGAGTGAGACAGAATACTGGTTACTCAATGGGTCTGCAAAGACAGACAGATTTAAAGAAATAATTAAACCCAAAAATGATCCTGGCAAAATGTGTGACTTTTCCATAAAGCTACAGCATACAGTGACCATGTCTGTTAAACCAGACCCAAAACATCATCACAGTAGTGCATACACACTAAAAAACTGGTACTTTCACTTTCAAAAGATACACCTTTGTACCTTATTTATCAATATTGCATATTACTGTTTGAAAGGATACTGAGCCAGTGACAGCATTTGTACCATTACCAAAAATTCACCAAGGTTTTATGATGGCATATATTTTTTGATAGCATGCTTCATTAAGTGATATATACCAGTCTAATAGACTCTTGTTTCTGTCACAGAATAAAAACATAAAAAAGTAATACGCGACTTTTTATCTCACAATTCAGACTTTTTTCTCATATTTTTCTCGATTACATGTTATAAACTCTTAACTGCGAGTTTCACAATTTTGACTCTTTTACCCTCAGAAGTGAGTTTATATCTCGCAATTCTCTTGAAATTCTGAGTTCACATTTCACAGTTGTTGTTGTTTTTTTGTTTCCACCATATAATACAATATAGGTTCAAGGTTTTATCTCACAGTTCTGACTTTATATTTCTCAATTCTGAGGAAAAAGTCTGAATTGTGCGATGTAAGCTCAGAACTGTGAGCAAAAATTCTGAAGTGTAGGATAAAAAGTCACAATTACCTT